GTACACTGGTCTTAGTATTTTTATGAAAAGCCTTCTAGTATGCTGTAGTATATTTCTCTTCTAGTATGTAGACCAGTCATACAAAAGCCCACATAAACTGCTGTATCTTAGCTCTGGCTCTACTCACTCATATGTGAGGGAGGGGACCTGGCTGGCACCGGAGGCGGTGGTGATGACATCCCGTCTCTGGCCAGCTGCATTGCTGTGCTCATCCCTGGCCAGCAGGTCAAACACCTCATTGTTGTACACCTCCATCACTGACACTTCCACTGTGTGACTTTCTGCAGGCTTCTCAGAGATCAGCCTGGGCGTCACATGGTAACAGAAAGGAAAGAAGCAAAACAAAGTAGATATTATGCTTTCTTGTGGATCAAACTACTAAAAAAGACTTGAGAAACACATCCAGCCCTTTTTTCTCTCACCGAAAGAGCTCAGCAGCAGCCTTTGGGATAATACCCTGCTGTGCCTCCTGCTGTGTCCCCGAGGGCTCATCCAGGAACTGGGATCCCATCATGGTGTGAGTCTTCCCACTGCCTGTCTGCCCATATGCCATGATACACACATTATAGCTGAAAGGCAGGAAGCAAGGTGACATTCAATTACTGTCGGAGCCATGCAGTCATATTATGATGCTCAGTTTGCTCCGCTCATTCACGCACCAGAGTGTTAAATGAAGACAGTTGAATTAATCCATCGGAATAACATTTGACTTGATATAAAGCTCTTTTTTTCCGCATAGTTTCATGCTCACCCATCCAGCAGAGATGTTAGAAGTGACTTGACTTCTTTAAACACAGCCTTCTGGGAATCCTCTGGTCCGTGTACCCTGAAAGAAGTGCGCATTGCCACAGTCACTAACAACTGAAAATTAATTGGAGAAATGTCGTCCATTGTATGGTGATGCCAGCATATTGTTTTACCTCTCAAACTCAAACATTTTGTTTTGCACCAGCATCCCCGCCTTCACGCAATTCACCATCACTGTATCCTAAATAAAAAGAGGGATTAAAGTAAAGGCAGGTATGCAGCAATCAATGAAAATCATTTGTAAGAGTCGACAACACTGACATCACTGACTGCGTGGACTACTTCCTCTGATGATGCAGACCTGATGGAGAAAACACTGGGTTATCTTAAGTTCTCTCATTTTTAACAACTTTTCTTCATTTAATTGTGTATTCATGTTGCATTGCCTGTTCACTCACCCTGATCCGGAAGTTGAGGACTGGATCTGGTCAAAAGGAAGAACTGGACGCACCCTGCAGTGAACCCGAATGTTCCCTCTGAGCTCCTGAAGTGAAACAAACATCAGTGATTAAAAGATTCAGTACAGCTCTTTCTTTTTATTCCATCATCTAACACTTTTGTCTTCTTACCACCAGTGTGTTGTGAAGTTCTTTCCGCTTCCGCCTCTCTGCCCTGCAGTTCTCCCTTTCTTCCTCCAGAGAGTGCTCCAGGGCTGCAACGCGAACCTGCAAATCTGCACATGGTGTGCACATTTTTCAGTCAGAACTAAGGTTCAGTGTATCACACAAATATTCAACATCACGCTGTCCTCTTTTTAGCGACATATCCAGTCATGGTAAAAAGAAAGTGCACCCTGTGTTAATTCTAAACTTCTACATATCAGGTATTAGGGAAACAACACAACCTCAGATGAACACCAACATATACACCAACTAACATACTAACTGATGCTTGTAGAGTTTGAGTTGTAGCTCTTGGGTTTTTTGCAGTTTCTCTGATCATTGCACAGCTTGACTTTGGGCTGAATTTGCTGGGATGATGCCACCTAAATGCTTCAGACCAGTAAACCATGTTATTTATTTTTTTATTATTATATTTTGATATGTAAAACCTTAGAATTTGAAAAGGATGTCATTAGATTTTTATCATGACTGTAAAAATTGCCTAATTTCTTCTGCACTGCATTTAACACTAGGATAGACTTAGCGGTGGAGTCTCAAACATGTAGCTAACACTATTTTAAGTACTGTGAATGAAAGGCTATCTGTGTAACAATCAACTCCAGAGCAACGGTCATTTGCAAATCTCTGATTTTAAGTCTTTAATCTTGGGACACACACGTCCATACACCTGGTAACAAACAGTTTTATCCACACACGTCAGGATGAGACCATGAATATGAAATGAACTGTGAAAGGCCACAACTTTGTCTCTGTGTTTAAACCTTATTTGAAACTATAAGAAAATACTTTTATTTTATTGGGAAAGCCTTGACAAAATGGACTGGACTTTAATATAAAGGATATCATCTCAGAAAGCTGACACCAATGTACAGTAAAAGACATGGATATTAAGGATATTATTCATTTACCCACAGTGAACCTAGTTTTAATCAACTCACAACTCACTTTTTGGCAGGTTTACCTGAACATTATCTAATATCCTTCTGTCTTTGTGATCAGCTGGTGACATCTGCAGCAGATTTGATAGGTTCTTGCAAACTTTGCTTGAATTTGCAACTTTTTAACATCTTAAACTTCTGAATACTGTTAATGTCAGCCTAAAAATAATTTTATGGGAAATTTTAGTCAATCAAATGAAATCCTAAAGTCAGAGTCCACATGCTTTAAGATGTGCCTCCTCTAACTGCTGCTCCACTGTTTCGGGATGCATTGCAGTTTTCACATTTTAAGCAAAAAAGGTTTCAAAACACTAAAAGTAACCACCGTCACCGCCTACAGATGCTACTTTAATGTTAACCTGAGGTTCCATTCAGATACTTACTCTGAAATCCATCCTCACTATGACTGTTCAGAGATGAGTTGGCTTGCTCTACTTTCTCCAGGAGCTGCTTGCTCTGCTCCTCCAACTCGGTGGCAAAACTCACATACACTGCAAACAACTCACTCAGGTCATGCTTCACAGCCTGCCACAAACACACAGAGTGGACAAATGAAGGGAGTGTTTACACAAAGCCTTGCTAACTATATATATTCTCCTAAGAACCGAGGAAAAAAGCACCTTCCCCTTCAACTTTTTTGTGATTTCCTGCCTCTTTGGAGCTAAAAGAGGCCACCCAAACACATGAGATATCAATGGAAAGCCCAGGATGTCCTCTATTTAGTACATCAGGACTCAGTATGGTAGCTCAAATAAGTCAAAAGATATAGACAAAAAACTAATTACACAGGATATAAATGAATAGGCTGGTTCCCAGGAGGATATACATATAGCTTTTACTTTAGCCTTTATTTGACCCAACTGACTTAGCTAATTATACACCAATCTCCAGCACTGAAATGTAAAAATTTCTTGAAAGCCTAGTCTCAAACAGCTAACCTATGGTTTGCAGAGGGATAGTTTCTTTGAGGAGTTAGAGTACATTGTAGCACAGAAACAGCCTTTGACAGTGGACTCATGTCTATGTTTGTCCTGTTAGAGATCAGGGCAGCGTTCGATGACAATAATTTAATACAGAGATTAGAACAAACTATTGGCATTAAAGGAACTGGGCTCCAGTTCCTTTAATGCCAATCCATTCCAGACTCCAGAGTCCATTCCAGACTCCAATTTGTTCATGTAAATGTGGAATTTTCTTCACATGCAGAAATTAGTCATGGAGTTCCACAGGGCGCTCTGCTGGGACCAGTACTATATACATTATACATGCTTCTCTTCTGCAACAATATTAGAAAACACTGCATATATTTTCATTGCTATGAAGATGATACTCAGTTATATCTAAACCCGACCTAAACAGATCAGTTAAACCAAAACACTGCAGCTAGACTAATGACAAGGACAAGAAAAGGAGACCAGATTTTTCCTATTCTGGGTTCTCCTCATTGGTTCCTGAATTTAAAATCCGTGATCATCATGACTGACATAATCTTGAACAATCAGGCCCCACCAAGTTATCCTATTGTTGAATTTCTAAAAGTAGAACGGGAAGCAGAAACTTCATCGTCACGTTCCTCCTCTGTGGAAACAGCTTCCAATTTGGATTCAGAAGACAGACACTGTCTAATTTTAAGATTTAAGGTAAATTTTATAGTTAAGGTTGCATCAGGTGACTCTAAAGCCTCCTTTAGTTATGCTGCTATAAGCTCAGACTGGTGCTGACTGCACCACTGTTTCTCCGCTTCACCTCTTTTCACTCAACACATGTTAATACAACACTGCAGCATGCCTTTGTCTTCTTCCTCCTTTAGTCTGTGTTTTGTCTCTTTATGCTCTTTTATTTATTTTCTCTTCTCTCTCCCCTCACTCCCAACCTGTCGTGGCTTCCCACTTCCCACTATCCTAAAGTGTTTGCTCACAGGGAGTTGCTTGATTGTTGGGGTTTCTTTTTCTAATTTGCTACTATATAAATAAACGATTGAACTGAATTGAAGTAAAGTGAACTGAACTGAACCCAAGTTACTATCTACCACATATACACACATCTCAATATATTTTTACCTGAACCCCTGAGAGAAGCTTGATGAGGGCTGATTGGGTTATCTTCCGTGTACTACTCTGAAGATGATGATCGTTCACAGCCTTGGTTCCCTCATCATGGTCCCGGCGCTGTCTACCCGAACACTGAAAATCAGACTTTCAGCTTTAATGTAAGGTTTTTTTTATATATATATATATAAAATTTTCATTAACTTTTCAGGAATTACTGTTAAGTGGACAATCCATTGACAAGTAGCTTCATGGCCAGATGATGCCTGTTCTCACAATCCCATTTTATCTAAGGACAAATTAAACTGATGTAATACCGGATTCGTAGTTATTTAAATTTATATTTTATGAGGCTCAAAAAGATTTCAGTGCAAGTGAGGGGGCCAATCATTGGGTTGACACAAAATCTGTCAGAGAGACAGCAAAAACTTACCACATCATTTTTAAGGTCTGCGATCAATGAATGGAAATACAGAGGGTTAACAACAAGGTGCACACCACTGGTTACACTAAAGAATAACAAGGCCAGATTAGGCTTTGCCAGAAAACATCAAAATGAGTCTGCACAGTTCTGAAAAACTTCTTTGGACGGATGAAACCAAGATTACATAAAAGTATGGAGAAGGAGAAAATCAGCTCAAGATCTCAAGGATGCTGCGTGATCTGTCACACACGTTGGCAGTTGTGTGATGACATTGGGCTGCTAATGTGACTGCCGACAGAACCAGCAGGATGAAGTGTACAGACCTATACTCTCTGCTCACATTCAGACAAATGCTGCAAAACTGATCAAACAGCACTCATTATCCAGCACAGAGCAAATGGATAATGATCCAAAGGAAAAGCAATCCAAGATTTCCTTAAGGCAAAGAAATATGATATGCTTTAGTGGCCAAGTCATTCACCTGATTTCTACCTGAGAGAATGTGGTTTTCATTTACTCAATAAAAAACTGAAGTCAAATAGAAGCAAAACATCATCATCCATGTAACAAAAAGAATCCTTATATTTAAAATTATGTTTGGTTGTCCAATTCATAGCCTCTGAAGGTGGTGGATTGTGTATAAAAATGGCTGTAAGTCCTAAAAAGTTACTGCCAAATTCTTGTAAAAACACTTCATTTAAGCTGAAAGTTTGCACTTTGATCACTTCTTGATTGTTTGCCTTTGTACTGTGATGTACAAAATAAAATGTGCCTTTGCCCAATAAATTATGGATCTAAGTCTTAGAGAGTGGAAGGGAAAAAAACAAATGAGGATGAAGTGATCTGCAAAGTACAGTGGAGGGGGTAACAGTCATTTGCACATAATTCTGGTGCATTTGAGCTACATGCCTAACTAATGAAACAGCTTGATAGAAATTATGATCCATTTTGTCCCAATGTGCCATTTAGATACACATTCAGTTAACCATCCATTTAAAGCACTCAAATAGAGACCGATTCAAATGTTCCCGCACATAGCGTGAGTACTAAGGTGTAATAAACCTCATGCATTTAAAGTAAGTGCACAAGCACACTCCAACGCCTATTGGCACTAAAAATAATTTAGAAAAGAAAGTAAGAAAGAAGTTATGCACACAAAAGCTGTGCTTGAGGTCCATGAAAAACCATGATAAATAAGGTGCAGACAGGAAAATACAAGAATAAAATGATCAAAATCTACTTTTTGGCTAAAGATGAGCCTATATGTGTGTTAGATGTCAAAAGTATTCTCACCTCTGCAAGTCTTAAATGAAGAAGGGCATTCTCTGTCTCCAGTTCAAGTATTCTCTCCTCTTTACTCTGAAATAAGAAGAAATGTGTCCTGAAGGATTTGGGATGCAGTTTGCACAACTCATGTTCAGTAACTTGTAAAAAAAAATAATCTAATAAACCAATAATAAACCAATAATAATCGAATAAACCATTCCCTAATGTCTAACAATGACTCACCCTTAATTTGTGCTCCAGCAGGTGTACCTGATGAGCAAATATTTGGTCTCGGTTTATAAATAGAGGCATTTTGTAGAAGGAAGGAAGCAAGTACAGAGCAGCTTGCCTGGCCTCGTCCCTTTTCTTTCTCAGCTGATCATGTGTGTCCTCTCAGGTCACATAATCAGATTAGCAACGCTCAGCAGCAACTCTCTCAGTTCTGTTTTACCTGTCTATGTTTGGCAGGTGCAGACTACAGTATGTTGCCTTCATACTGGCATGAGAACAATAACCGTTTAATTGTGATTTGAGCACGACAGCATTTTTTTAATGACTTGGCTTTCTTCACTTTCAGGTGTTGGGAGTTATTTGTGTTTATGCGGCCAAGTGTTTGTCACTTTCCACCGACAGAGGGCAGCAAAGTGCGTGAAGAGCGGTTCGTCAAAAGGAAGACGTAAACATTACGAAGAAGAAAAATAGTTCCGCATAGTCACAGGTTTTTTTCCTGTCAGGCAGGAGACTCACTGCACTGTGGTTCTCCGGTTTGGTCACAACATGGCAAGGCTAAAAGAGAAAAGGCGAGAGAAAATCAGCGTCGCCTCCGAGGTACAGTATTTTAGCGTTTCTCTCACATTTCCCATCTATCTCTCTGTTTAGCTGACGTCTGATAGGTGCTGTATCTTTCCCCGGGGACATTCTTAAAATTCATTCGTTTTGGTCGCTCCTCCCTGCCTCTGTGTTTTGTACGTTGACCTCTCCGTGTGTCACACCTGTAAAATCCTACAGATTGATCGTCTGGAGGAGCAGCGGGTGCGTTGCCAGGACAACTTAGAGAGGGCGGAGTTCAGGAGCAGGAAGGAGAAGCTCTCTGAAAAGCAGAGGTGAGGCTGAAGGAGATGATGGAGACTCCACGTTAGTGTGTATATACCTCCCACTGGTATTTCAAGGCAACTTTGGCCTCGGGACTGGGACTGTTGTGGAGGGAACGCCCTGCAAGACTGTCCTTGTTAAAATATATACTTGTTATTTATTCCTGCTTAAAACAGATTATTTTTTGATTGCAAAGTCTTCCACATATACCTGTTTTCAGTGATATCAACTTTTGGTGCCCCTCGTGGAGGGCTACACCAATAAGCTGAACTCAGTTGGTGCAGCCCTCCACAACAGTCCCAGTTTCTCATGCGGCTCTTTGGGAAAATGAATTGCCCATCCATCACATTTGAGGAATTCAGGAAGCGTGTCTGTCAAAATCAGCCAAGCTTCCTGCTTTGGAAACCCCTTGTGAATAAGGAAATAACCAAAAGTAGCTATTAATACAAAAAACAATATTTTAATGAGTTGAACACTAATCTGAAGTCTAAATAAAGTGTATGAGTTGAGAATATAGATTATAAAAAGGGATTGAAATAAACAATGAACATAAGGGAACAAATGTATGTGTTGTTCTGTTGCATGAGGTGTGAAGGATTTGTGTTGGATTTGCTCTTGCATGTCTTTGGCTTTCCTGTTTGTGGCTGTTTTGTGGTAGTTGCAGGTCTGTGTGGCTCTTTAGTGAGCAAGAACCCATGAAAAGCCATCTTGTGCCACTTAGAGATATTTTCTTTTTAAAAAAAGGAATATTGTAAAAACTTCACCCAACAGTGACGTTTCTCCTTAATATTGCCTTTTTTTCTTTCTTTAAAAAAAAAAAATCAGACAAGATCTGGAGGATGAAATGACCATCATGAATGAGAGGGTGCAGAAGCTAGGTGAGCCTTAATATTAAAATTCTTGTTCATGTGTATTCACTGTGTGTTCTTACTTTTCCTGTGTATTTGTAATATTTATTGAGCGCTCGAGGACCACATAGTCCCGTTTTCACTAAGGGTTAATTGACAAACTGATTAGCAAACTAATCAACATGTCATATTTAGTCATCCTGAAAGGTGCATTTTAAAAAGAAAGCAGGTGAAAATAAAATGTTATTGATGACAGATTTAAGGAAACTGAAGAATGTCGTGCTTTTTGAGTGCAGTATACAAAATATTTGTCTTCTGTCTTCTTTTGACTGAGCCAGCTTTCCCATATAAAAAGCAAAAATAGTTTCAGTATGTTGTAAACTGGCCCCAGGCTGCGACAGCAGATCATTAGCAGATCACTTGCTGGTTTTGCTCGTGCCAGAGGACTAAAAATAAATAAAAAGTGATGGCTGCTGCATATTTTATACAGTTTTTCTTTTGCTTTTCCAGACAAGGAGCTGGAGATGTTACGAGGTGAAAACCGGAGGAACATGTTGCTGTCAGTCGCTCTGCTGGCTATCAGTGCTTTCTTCTACTACGGGTTTTTCTACAACACAGACAAGTCATAAAACCACACTAAAAATGGGACCCATGATTCTGCAAAGAGCATCAAACTCAAAGCCATCTTGGTACAGCGACACGGTTGTGAACACATGAAAAAGGCCCAGCAGTTATATTGATGAAATGCCACAGTTCTGCATCCAGATGGTGTTGTTTTGCACTTCTCTGGTCAGAAGCCATCCCGCTTTTATTGACAGCACACCTGAAATTTTCTTATTTAAAAATGAAATATCTATTTCTGATGTTATCTTAAACTTTCCTTTTCACAGGCTTATATGGACCGACAAAGAAAATGAATTCTGGTTATGCCTTTATATATTTGACATCTGTACACTTGTAACACTATTCTTCATCTGAATGTTTACCTTATGCTGCCTTCCATTTGCCTCAGATGTCCGAGCTGGGAGTGACATCAACCCTGAGTTAGTAAGGTAACAAAAGTAAGGAAATGTAGAATTTGTTTTGCCTTTTAGCACTTAAAAAAACATTGCTCTGCATGTGACTTTTTTAGCAAGTCGCAGAAAATAATAGTAATAGTACAAATTCCAAGTGTTACAGTTTTGGTTGTGGATGCTTCGACTTTCTAAGTCTGACAGGAAACATCAAATGAAAGCAGCATCATGCTCCTAACAAACCACCATATACTTGCTGTATTTTGCGCAACATGTCAGATAGATACTTTATCAAGCAGTGCCGGACAAGTCTGCTTTTCAGTCATTTCAGTAAGTGTTTGTATGCATGGTACACAGTATTTGTGCAGTTAAATGCATGAAAATATTTGATATTTGTGCCCTTTGTGTTGTCATTATGTCAAAGGCCGAGCCTGGAGGTTTTTTTCTTTCCTTTTATCGATACTCATGCTGGTCGTACACCTACCTCCTAATAACAGCGCTTCCAGAAATGGCCAACATGCTCACAAATGTCCTTTTAAATATGACTGTACACAGTTATGCTCTGAGATTTGGATTTTTTAAATAATTGATCTGTTTAAATGCTTTTTTTTTTTTGCCATTTGTGCGTATGTCTTTTAAATCCATATAATAAATGCTTTGTGCCAAATTCAATGCATATTGTTGACTTTAAATGTACTATTTGTAATGTGCTAGGTTTTTTTTTAGTGACACCTTTATTTATTTTTTATTTATTTAGATAACTTATCCATTCATTCTTCCTGAAAGTAGCAGACTAGACCAAAAATGATATAATAGAAGATTTATTATGTTCTGAGAGAGCATGTAGGAGATTTTTTTTGTAATTTCACCGCTACAGAAGGTGTTATCTCTTCAGGAAACATATTGTTAGTGTCAGAGGTGACATTTTTCACCCAGTCACACAGCCATTGCAGGATTTTTGTGGCAGGGTGGGGAAGTCTAATTTAAAACGTCTTAAGGCCTTCCTATGGTTCTGAGAATGTGATGATTAAAGCAGCATTCCTGTGTCTTATTTGTATCGACATCTGTTTAGCCTGTGTCCTTTTGCATCAGCAACATTCACATGAGGGACTAAAACCACCAAAATATGATCTGTATTTTGTTTTTGTTTTTTTTATTGTTATTGTGAGAAGCATTACAACAGTCAGCAAGTCAGAAGTTTTTAAATCGTACTCTTTTAATATTGTACACTTTACTTATATACGATCTGACCTTATAGATGAGCTGGACAGCTGTAAAAAGCAATATCAGTGTACGGTTATGACAGCACTGTAATCCATCGCAGTGTGAGATTTTTTCAATGCGTTTAGTTATAGTTTAAGATCTTCAAACTAGTTTTAATATTAGACAAAAAGAAAACGTGATAAATATAAAAGGTACATTTTTAAATGATGATATCATGTCACAATTTAAAGAAACAGATAAGAAACAAAGTCATTGATATCTATCAGTCTGGAAAGGGTTGCAAAGCCATTTATAAGGCTTTGGGATGCCAGTGAGCCACAATGAGGGCCAGAGTTAAATATTTAACAATGAGAAAGAGACTAGGCAAAAATGGCATCCACGGGACTGACAAGACAAAAGCCCCGGCTGTGTAAAACTAACACAGTATTTTATAAAAACAACGTCTTACAAACAGTCAGACATGGTGGTGGTAGTGTGATGGTTTTTGCTGTTTCAGGATCTGGACGTGAATTCATGAAACTATGATCTCTACCAGAAAATCCTGAAGAAAAAAGTTCAGCCGTAAGTTCGTAAGTTCAAGAGGGCTTGCAGCAGGACAGTCATCCAAAACAACTCCACAAACGAACAAACCAAATAGAATAAAATAAAAAATTAGTGCCCTAGTGAAAGACTTAAATCCAGTTGAGATGCTCTGGAATGATCTTAAACAGGCTGAATGAATTACAATTCTACAAAGAAGACTGGGCCAATGTAGAAGACTCATTACCAGTCACCACAAAGGTTTGATTGCAGCTCTTGCAGCCAAGGGTGGCACAACTAGTTATTAGTTAACTAGTTGTTGACTGCTTTTTCACACAAAAAAAAGAAAAAAAATTTTTTTGGTGAAGTTAGCCTAATATTAAACTTTGATTATCTGAAACTTGTGCCTTATTACCATGTTTAGACAACTTAAAAAAGGACAGCAAGTCCTTTAAATAGATCTTCAGATGTTCCACAAGGAGCAGGTGGGTTATTTCTTGATATGGTGTTAATAGACAACAACAACAAAGAGAAAGAGAGAGAGAAATTAAAGGTCATTAAGGAAGCCAACCATCAACCTCTGCTAGTTCTATAACCTGACTTTCACCATTGCGTGATCAGTAATCACCCTTTTTGTGGACTGTAACAATATCTTACTCTTAAAGCTCATTTCTCCATGTCCAATATTTATGGAAATCAGACAGGAAATAAAATTCTTTGTGTCTAGGTTGTTGGGTTAGGCACACTTTACCTTGCACTTTTCCCAAACTGTAAAACAAAAGCATTTCATCTTGCTTTCATGTTAAATGTGAAGCAGCTACCAATCCAGCACTCAGGGAGCAGTGTGTAGAGACGGTAGAGACGGTGTGTGTGTTTTATTTCAACAGATGTTTTATGATTATAATACATTTCTATACGGCGTTTCCTCCTTTCCTGAACCTTACATAACTTTTGCACAAACAGTGAGGCTATTTTGAGCCACAGATGAAAACAAATTTTAAATGCTCAAGTAAGTATTTTTGGAAAAGCGGGGGGATGTGTTGCCCAATCAGGAAGTGGACTGAACGATGTTTGTTTTTGGTTTTGGTTTTTTTCCACGCAGAAAAACTTAAGATGCATTTTTTTTGTTTGCCCTATTTGCTACTTGGCATTGGTTACAGTAAAAAACAAACAAACAAAAAACAACTATATAATATAACCACACCTTACCAAACAAATGTGTGCGTGTGCCCTACCTCCCACGCTGTCTATTATCACCGACTCAGTCCTCGTCAGACCTACGCACACTCGTTCTCTCAGCCCCAGATAAAATAAATGTAAA